TTTCATTGTAATCTGATAAGACAAAATGCTTTGTGCATTTTCGGAAATTAATTAAAAAGACTTGTGATTAAAAATTTTCAAAAATGTTTTTTTTACTAAATTTTCCATTTTTAGGACAGGAAATGACTTTAGCAGGTTTATACAACGTATACAAAATTATCATGCGAGATGTGTAAATTAGACGTTAATCAGCCGTAAATTAGTCGCACACAAGCAAAAACATAAACACAAAAATCCCATTCGCGCGCGCGCACACTCGTACATTCACACATGTGTGTGTGTATATATGTGTATTAATAGAATACTCAAAAAAAGCTTTGGTAACGTGTTGCGAGGAAATGTGTCTAAATGTCTAAATGGAGTTGAGTGGCCTGTTCAGGAAGTTGTTGCACTGCTGTTACGAAGATGCTTTCATGTTTATGTTGTTGTGTTGTTGCTTCATGTCCGTTACTGGTTGTGTTTTGTTTGTGTTGTTGTAATGGATTTCAAAAAGAAAAATATTTAAGGTCCAATCATTTACCATTTAATTTAATTTAATTAATTTTTACTTTGATTGATTTCGTTAAAAAATTTAGATAATATGGCAGCGATGTAACCATGGTGTCGGCCCCTCAAAAAATTCCGACTACGACTCCCGACTCGGGATTTTTTATGCAAAAGTTGAAAAATTGTTCTTGCACTCGGAACCCGGAGTCGAGAGCCGGAGTCGGATATTTTTACCCGTGCCGAAATTTTTTGGACGGTGTAAGGGTTCGTTCTTTAACTTTTATTATTAATTCAAAATCGCAACAAGAACAAGTACGTTGTAACAATTTCTCTATTACAACGTAAAATACAGTTTGTAATGTAAGGCAATTAACAATAATTAATAACCGACGTTATGAGTCAATATCTCTAATTATTTAATTATAACGTTTTAGAGTCAATATCTCTGTATATATATATATAATTCACAATTCGTCGGTTCACGAATTTACCACTTCACGAATTCGCCAATTTTTCCTTCTGTTCGCAAATTCGCCAATTAGCCTGTTCCAGCACTAATTCTGATATCACACGTAATATTACAAAGTTCGAGTCTTCACGTCTCACGTAATATACTTCCGAGACTCCACGATAACTCTCGCGACTGTACCTTCCCAGCGCTTTTATAGACGTTTGGCCGCTATCACTCCCATGGTCAGAAATTGCGACAAGTTATTAATAATTATTTGACCTTGAAGGACAGTTAAAATATTTTTAACCAATTTTTTTTAAACACTTTCTAACTTGCAATCACCACGGCCACGAGATATTATTCACTTGTTTTCTGGTTATATATTTAAATCGTTAAATCAGTTAAAAACTGAACGGTGTCCAAACACGGCGTTGCAAACTGTTCCAAACATGTCATTCGGTTCTCTAACAGCATGAATTGCTTTGTGAAGCACTGTTGTGTATTGGTGTCTATTAAATTTGTTTAAATGTTTTAAAAATATTTTTTGCTGTTGGCTCTTATGTTGCCAATTATTAATACGAAAAATTTTGTCGTATTTATAAATACAAATATGTCGTATATTCATTATTTTTATTTATTATATTCTTATGTATTTTTTTTTCATTCTTTTAATATATTTTTCATATATTTATTCACTTATTTATTTATTTCTATATACGCAGCTTAGGGAACGGAGAAAATGAGGCAATTAATAAGATGCGGACGACATCATCAACAGACACCCAGCGGTGAATGCTTGCATGCTAGATTAGATAGAAATCCTATTCGTTTACATTAACGCATTCCAGTTTACATCGAGACACAGCTTCGATGAAAATTTTTATTTTTGTTGGGTTCTGAAAAAAATGAACATGCTCTTATCACTTTTCAAACTCACACGCATGCAGGTGCGTGAATACATCCTCAGGCAATATATGTATATAATTTTTAGTAATATCTGAATATATTTTAGCTCCTAGTATTTCTTTCATTGTCACAAAAAGCCACCAAACAGCACAATTACATTCAATTGCATGCATGTTACTGAACGCATTCATCGAGTGAGATGTTTGTGCGCAATCAAAAAATAAGCACAAAGTCCTTGTCGACTCCATCTTCATTACAACTTCCTAATGAAATGCATCCATCAAAGCATCTTGTCCTCCTGCCAGACACAAGAACTGGCGCGCAAGCTATCAGTCAGTCGGGTAAGTAAATATCGAGCTTATCACAACTTCATCACTCCATTCTCTATAAATTATTATCAGCAAACTTACATCTTAAAAGTTATCATCTTAAATTACTTTATAAATTCATCCTCATCAACGCCGCAAATATAAATGATATATTTTATATTAGCTTATAAATTTACTATTGTTGACATTTTTGTTTTAAAATCACTTATCAGGGCTATGGGTGGTTTTAATTTAATTATTTTGTATTGAAATATAACTTCATCTAAAAATTTTTTGAAAACCAAAATCCATTCCACTGAAATGTTGATTATGGTAGTGATAGAAGACATAGAAGACATCAGCCAGTCAGCCATTCAGCATAGGTACATCACATCACACCCGCCACTTCTCTCCACTCACCAACTCGCCATCTTCAACAAATCGAATTAGTGTTGCGACAAAAACTAAAAAGATGCAACCACACGGAGGGTGAGCGAGAAATAATTGATTGAATTAAAATTGAAAGCAAAAATTAATCGATGACCATAGAACACTTAATAGAAAGTGGTAACTATATTAAGTGTCCACGTTCTCAAAAATTCCGCGTCCGTGATTGATCGACCGCACTCGTGCTCTTCAGGTCTTCGGATTAAATTTTTTTTTGAAACATGATTTTGAATCTGAGTGTTTGTTTAATTATCCCTTAACTGAATTGTATTCACAAACATGCGATGTATATGTACGTAAATATATTTGCGTTTAATATTTAATAGGCTATGTTGTGGTGCGCAGAGAAATAACTATATAATTATTATTTCAAAATAAATTATTACAAAATAATTCAGTAACAGTTAAAAATAACCCCCAAATTTAATTAAAGACTCGTAGTAGGAAGAAAATTTAAGTTTAATCAAGCCTCAAATTTTTCGTTTAATTGAAATATATGAAGACAAATTTTCAGTGGCAGCTGCAGTGATAACGTTTGATAAGAGTTTAATTATTTTGCTTCCTAGCTCGGATGAGCTCTTCTCAATAAGGCCTTTCTTTTAAATCTTCATATATTGCTTTTAGATCTCCGTTTCCTTAATCTAGTCTATTTTCCATTTGCAATCAAACATCATCACCAGGAACTAAGCATCATCCTCACCAACATAATGGCTGGATGTATTGCGGTAGAGTAGTAGTAATAGTTGTTGTAGTTGTTATTGTCTTAGTACTATTACTAAGTAGCAGTAATAGCTGTAGTAAAGTAATATTAGTAGTGACGACTGTAATAATAGAAATAGCATTTTAGAATTGTGGAAGCGAAATTATGGTTGTAATGTTCGCATGATGTTGTTGCACCTTCAGTGTAAATATTTGCAAATGTTGTAAATTAAGTACAAGAAAATTAGGAAATAATTATAAAAACAAGTATCACCATGCATACATTCGTGATGCATCCTCAAAGGATTCTCATTTTTAACAAATACGATTAATGTAGCCAATGGAACTTACGATTGCTTGTTCTAAGAATAGATGCAAAAATGTTATTTTATACAAGTTTGTGGATATATCTGCTAAAAATGTATATATAGAAAATATATATTAATGTATGTATTCCAAGTATATGACATTAACCATATTAACTATTGATTAAAAAAGAACGTATGTAAAAAAATTAAAATGGTTTCTCTAACATGAATTTAGTTTGGAGACTTGTTTATTTCGCCACTAAATTAGAACGATGTTTTTCGACATATGGCGGTTCGGGGATTTACTTTTCTCGTTTTTTTCCTCAGATGTGATTCCTAATTTATGATTTATTAACATTCCAGATCTCATTTAATCTCATTTCTTTTTCTTTTTAATAATTAATGTGATAATTAAATTGAAGTGCTTATTTTACGTCTTATATTTTATATTATAATAATATAAATTATAATTTAATTTTAATAATAATATATATATTTAATATATAATCATATATATATATATATATATATATATTTATTATAAATAATTTAATAATTTTTAATAATTTTTTATTTATTTTATTAAATTATACCTAAAATATAAGATAGACTGATAAAATATAAGATATATATATATATATTATAAATAATTTAATAATTTTTAATAATTTTTTATTTATTTTATTAAATTATACCTAAAATATAAGATAGACTATTTATGATGAATTGAATTCATTTTGCAAATTTTAATTGTTGATAAAAAATAAATTAAATTAATTTGTTTTTTGGTAATATTTTTAAATTAATATTTTTAAATTAATAAATAACTTTTTTTATTTAATTAAACATTCATTTTACTTTGCTAGTAAGTCTTAATCTTACTCTAATAAAATATTTTAAATTTCAATTACTTTTTTTTAATCAATAACTATTTAATTTTTTTATATTTATATTTTAATTCATTTATAAATTATAGAAATATATAGAATAGAGTGATTAAATTAAAATCTAATCATTAGATTAGTCATTATTAATGATTACTTAAATTATATTAGATTATTAGAAGATTAGTTTTAAAATTAATAATTTTTTTATTATTTATGATTATGTTAATCTGATCTGTGATTCTTAAGGTTATTTGTAATAAATTTAATTTCTTTAATTAAAATAATACTAATGTAGTTTATGAAATGAAGATTCATGATCAGATCACTTAATATATTATTATAAACTATAAAGAAATGATAATGAAACTTTTTTGCCAAATCGTAGATACAAAAAGCAACCTTTATTTGTGTGTATCAGATCAAACAAAATAAAGATTATACACCATATTTTAATAAATAAAATTATAAAATAAGTTATAAAATTGTAAGTTTTTTGAAAGCACTTGATATGTTTGTATGTGCCTTGAAATATGCTGTCACAGCATTTTTGTTACTCGGAGTTGCTCCACTCTACTCAATGATCTGGTTCCTGTTAAGAATTCTTACATATTTCATTGAGGAGAAGTACTATGATGTCACCAACAACTTCCTTTATGGAACATATCAGAAGTACCTCGTGTTTTTCTTTGAAGTTGTGGCAGGGGCCAAGGTATGTCTGCATTTAACTGGGTTGTAATGTAAATTTTTATTTTATTAATGTATAGTATCATTTGATTAGATTTGAAAATCTTAATGTGAATTTTTCATTTTTATTTAAGCTAGTTTTGTATGGAGACCACAAAGAGATTTTCAACCGTAAAGAAAATGTTGTGTATTTCAGTAATCATCAATGCCTTCGTTAGTATAAGAGATAATTTCATTCATTTTTTTAATCTTTGAAAGTGACTACTGACTTCATCGATGATTTTTAATTCATAATCTCAGTTGACTGGGTAGTGATGGCAATGCTAGCTGAAAGAGCTTCTGCTTCAAATAGAACGAGGTTCATTTTGAAAGATTCACTTAAATACATTCCAATGTATGGCTTTCATTTTAAAAAGGTTGATAATTGCTTGTTTTTTAGTTGTTTTGCTTTTGTATTCTTCTCTTCTGTTTTGGAGAATGTTATGAATCTGAAACTAATTTAAATGACGTCCATTGTATTGCCAGCTATCTATTTTTATAATGGGGGTTTGATGAACTTTCAGCACGGATACATCTATGTGAAGAGAGGAGGACAGTTTGACTCTGAACAATATGTTACTCAGCTGGATAAGTTCAACCGTCAAGATAATCCTGTCAGTAGAATTATTTGCATTTTGGCTTGGCTCATCTCAAATTTATTTTCATCTTAGTATTTGAATGTTTTTTTTATTAGTGAAGTGTCTAAGAAAAACATTATCTTTTTACAAGAAAATTTTTAAAACTTCAATTTGGCGCAGAAATACCAAGCTAGATCATTGAATTTTATTGTACTTGCATGAATAATTTTTTTCCTCATGTATCATTTTTTTTTTAATTCCACTATGTTTGTTTCCCTCTCTCTCTCTCTCTTTCTATTTCTTGATATGGCTGTAGTTGGTTTATTTTCTTGTGTTGTATCTTCAATGGACATTCATTTTTTTATCTTTTTAATATAAGTGTAACAGAAAATGCTACTAACAGTTGTCAATAGTAAATTTATTTCAATTTTTAAATGTTTATCTATAAAAATTTTTTTCACTTAATATTAAATAATTGATTAAATTCAGTTTTGGTTAGTGATATATCCAGAAGGTCACAGATTAAATCCAGGCAATCCTCAGGCTATCCGGAAAGCTCAGCAGTACACATTAGATCACAGTGAGCAGTATTTTATTTAATTATTGCTGAGCTGTTACTTTGCTAAGTTTTCTTACATTGTAACGTCCTACCTCGGGAAACCGGGTCTCTGGATGCAAAATAAAGATTGATTGATTGATTGATTCTTACATTATTAATGTTCCCAAACTTATCAAATTTCATGCATATCAGTAGCTTTTTCTTTGATACATTTAAACTTATTTCCCATTATTTTATGGTAATACTGGATGGCTTAATTTTAATTTATGATTTTGTTACCTTCTGTTTTGTAATTTTCAAATTTAAAAATTTTTCATGGATTAAAACGTTGATAAAACAGATCTTCCAGCATTTAAACATTTATTGACACCACGTTTGAAAGCTTTTTCACTTTGTGTTGATGTTTTGAAGAAAAAGATTGATGCAATTTACGACGTAACAATTGCATTTTCGTCTACTCTTTCCCATACAACAACTGAAACTCAATTCATAACCAACAGACTTCCATCTCCTTCCTATCTCGGTTACTCATTGTTTAACATTCTTTATTTGTCTGCTCAATTGGTTTATCTGATGTATTAGTATAAATGTTCTATCATTTTTTAGAAACAAGGGTCATAAAATTTATAAAATATCTATTTATAACTAAACAGATTTATTTAAAGGAGATATGACCATACACATTCATATGAAGCGCATTGAGTTCTCACAAGTCCCGGTAACTAGCGAATCCTTCAAGAACTGGATTTTTGAAAGATTTAAAATTAAAGATAGGTTTGTATATGTACAAGTTTGTCTTTGTGCTTTTTTTGTTAACTGGAGCATTATGTACATGTGCAATAAATTATTGGTTTTAATCTGCTGAGTATGTTATATTTTTGCATTACAGCTTGCTGTCCAATTTTTATTCCGATGATGAGAAAACGAGAGGAACGTTCGGGGAAGGTGGCGTGGAATCTACCCCTGGCCTCGCCTTCCTGTTACCATACGCTATTGCCTACGTATCTATCCTTACGTTGTGCTTTACTTCTTATTACATTTTCTATTTATATATTTTGTCCAGTTGTATTGATTTTTTTGTCACCCTGGCTTTGTCCTGTTTTTTGTAATTAGTTTTTAAAATCTTTTTTGTCATCCTTTCACTCTTAATTTGTTACAGCTTTCATTTCCATGCAGTGTGACTTTTTTTATGGCATGCCTCAGCAATCCATTAAGAATTTTGCTTGTTATCTACAGTACAGTTATTGTTTGCAATATCAGTTAATTTATGATTTTACTTTAGAAACGTAGCCTCAATAAACTAATGATGAATGATGGCATATTTTTCTTCAGTATTGCAATTTCAAAAACATAGTCTTCAAGCCACTTTTATGTTTGCGATGTTCAACCAAGTCTGTAATCTTTATAATATAAGTGCTTTATATATAGGCTTAAATACATTGAGTGATAATTTTGTTTGACGTAATTGATGACAGCATGTGAGCCCACCTTCCAACCATCTCACGCTTAATATGAATGCTTTTAAGATGCATTTATTACTTTATACAGTATCAAATATTTATTGAAATTCTAGATAAAAACTTAATTTATTAAGGAAAGGAAATCTGTTTAAAGCTTGTGATTTAATTGTTAACGATGTTGTTAAACTTTTAATTTCCTGTAAAAACATGTTTGAAAAATCTCGTCCTTATCTGATTTGCTTTTTCATGGCTTAGATCTTGATTTCGTTGATCATTACTTTTAAAAATCTGTTAATTGATTTTTATAGTTATCAATACAGTTTGGAAGGAAAGGAAATTTGATTTTTTTTTATGTAAAAAACCAATTGAGAATTTTCTGTAGACGCTTCTGGTACCAGCAATAAAATTTCTGGCGAAAGTCGATCGTTCGATCAAAATTCTCATGCAACGCTATTACCATGGCATTTTTACTTCCTACAGGCTCTAGCGTATAGCCCTATACAGACAAATTTTTTTAAACCGCCACTGTCCAAACCTGCAAAACGCCAAAGTTCGCAATCGGTTTAGTCCGCAACGTTCCTATCCGCTCAAGTTCGCCAGCTTTTAATCCGAATCCGCCAGCATTTTTATAAAAAACTATTTTTTACGATTTTAGCTTTGATTGTGGAATTGGATTGGAAAAATATAACACTATTAGACTATTTGCTCACCATCAATATGCAACAGTTTGCCACTCATCATCCGTCAACAATCATCAATAGAAACGTTTAAAAAGCGATTGAAGCAGCATCTGTTTGAACAGGCCTTTGGTGGCCGTGCTGACACTTGTTTATCCGGGCGCCTCTGACGCCATGCATAGGGCGCTCATAAATGGCATTATTATTATTATATTTGCAAGCGTGTCGTGCGGTTCAATCTACCCCGTTCACCGGGTATATTGATCCAAACATCTGGGCATGTTGAACCAGTATTTAATGACTGATTTAAGCAATTTTTTGCTATACAGAAATATTATAAAATAAAAAATTTATTAATTAACATTAACAATAACGGCCAGAGTGATCACGTTCTTGCAAAACAATAGCACCAACTTGAAACATTTCTGACAATCCTGCAAGGACGATGTACCATAGTAATTAATTCCTGTTTTGTCAATGTTTTGCACATATAGCCTGAGGTCCAAACTTATAACGTTCATAGACTGCTGACAAGTTATCAAAAAATGAGGACAAATTTGATCTATTGATGCTTATTGTCCGAACAGTAGGTATCGCCTCAGGTTCTCTGACTGAGAGGTTTGTCTTCATAAATCCAGAAAACCAATCAGCTTCAAGTGTTTTACCAAGCAAACATGCTTCGTCATCAGTAGAAACAATTTTTTGACTGTCTGTATGTAACCAACACTGAAACTTGTCAACGCAGAATTCTGAGCATTGTTGTATTTCTTACAATATCTAAGCAATGTCGCTCGGACAAACACTCAGACACAAACACTCATTCCACCTCTAGGGCCTTTTCTCGGCAATGGATTTAGACAACTTGACGGAGGGCCAAAATTAAGCTAGCGGCGACCTATTTTTTGCTTTTTACGTCGATTTTCGGTCGATTTTCTACTTAAGCAATGTTTTCTTGTAAAAACTGATGTTTTACTGAGTTTTATTAAAAATATCGCTCACAACGTTTTCATACAGTTTTTTGCAGTCTGACAACTGACAATTTTGATTTATCCTGCTTCAAAAATAAGCACACTTTTACATGTTGGACTTATATAAATACGGTTCAACATGTCTCAACCGTGGTCATCCTAGCATTTCAACTGTAGCCTCATTAAAATGTTATCAAGACGTGAAATGAAGTACGAACTGTTTTACTGGATAAAACTACAAAAATATGTATAGTAAAACTATTTATTCTTTTGCAATCATATTTTTGGAACAATCACGTCATCGACTGAAAATTACTCGAAAACGGCAAAATCACGTAAGCGACATTGACAATTCGCCGACATAAATATGGCAGATTAACTCAGCTAGTTCTATATGCATTAATGGTTGGAATTAGAAAACGCGAACCGATATTTTTTATGAATGAGCAAATTTACCCAATTGGTTCAACCTACCGGTCTCCACCATTATGTTAATGAAAGGAGTGTTATCAAAAAGTAGTTTTTTGATAAATTGATATTGAATGTAATGTTTTAGCAACGTTAAATTGTAAATAAAACAATTTAGAATTTAAATATGGCCAAATAAAAAAATAACTAAATTAATAAATATTCCTACCGATAGATGCGGCTTGAGATCTATGACGTTACCAGACCACCGAATAATTTTTTTATCCAAGCGTTTTTCGCGTGACGCCTTTTGAAATTCATTTCATCATTCACACCACGCCTTTTACTTAGTTTATGCAATTTAAATGAAACAGTTAATAAATGTTTAAAAAGTGATTTATTTATTTGCTGTTTATATATGAAACAATTGTAGGAATTTAGGAAATGATGTTAAATAACACTTTGCAAATGACGTCACCATAGAATAGAAGTGTCTTTTTCTTAAAAAACAGAACTTATTTAAAATAATGGCGGTAAAACGGTACGAATGCTTATTAACTATATTCCGTCATATGCTCCAGCCAGAGCCTGATAGGTCATTTTGAGTGTTAACAGGAGATGTGTACTGATTGTAAGGTTTGCGGTACTTTTTAAAACTTACAACAAACCATATATATAGAATATATCGTGTATATACTCTATATATACGCAAAAACACAAGTTTTTTGACCATTTGAATAGAATTAGGTACATTAATAAAAAAATTTAGTTTAAGGTTAAAGTTTTTAAAGTTTATGCATCTAACGCTCTAATCTCCGGTTTGACCATTTTGTACATGCATTCTGTTTTGTAATTAATTTGTTTTAATAAATCTAAACACTCTATTACTATTCCTCTTATTATCTTACTTGATTCTAAAACTCTTGATGTTTCTCACAAGTTTCGTAGTCTAGGCTTTATCTTTGATTCTACTGTCTTTATTTTATAAGATTAATGTTGCTAGAAGTTCTTACTTTCATCTACGTAGAATAAAAAATTTTTACCTTTTCTTGACGATCCTACTCTTCTCCTTCTCGTTACTTCGATTAGTCGAATCTAGGATTGATTATTTTAGCTTGCTCTACTATGGTCTTCCTGATTCTACACTCTATCCTTTAAGTAAAGCTTTTAACTCTGCTGCTCGTCTAGTCGCTCGTGCCCCTTTCTTTTCTCATTTATCTCCATATCTTGTTCTCTTGCGTTGGCTACCTATAAAATATAGAATAATTTTTAAAATTTGAAACATTTATGTCTAAGTCTCAATCTAAATTATTTCCTATGTACTTATCAGATATATTAATTGAACCAAAACGCCCCGGTTTACGATCGTCTTCTTGTTCTCACTTTTCTTAGCTTGTGTTAAACACTCTTGCTAAATCTGCATTTATTTTTTCTGGCCCTTTTCTCTGGAAATCTCTACCTCCTTCTCTGACTACTTCTTCATCACTTAAAAAATTCTCGAGACCAATCTGTTTGTAAAATTCATTAAAGAACGCTGTTGAATATTGCGGAAATAACGCTTTATAAACTAATTGTTTGATTGATTGATTGATTTTTTCTTATCCATCAATCATTTGTAAACGATATCTTATCTCGTTTTTAAACGAAATAAATAGCGCTAATAAATTTTTTATTATTGATTGAATGTCAAACATCTAACTTTATTCAACTATAGTTTTGTTTATTTTATAAACTGCAATGGGGGTTCTTACTCTCACCCCTTTCTTTAACTCTTGACTTGTGATAGGTGCTTGTTTCTAATAAAAAGATATAATGAACTATTATTTTTATTATATTGGTTTTTTTATTATTCACGCTAATTTTATACCGTTTAATTTGTGCAAAGTCGTGAACGTACGTAAATATGAAGATGAAAAGTTGACTCAGTTCTTGGTGGATAGAAATTTGTCAGCTATTTTTGTGGGTGCAGAAAATCTCATAGCCAAATTAGATTTTAATTTGAATAAAACTGCTGATGAATTTATTCTAACTAAGGAGGTATTTAATCAGATATGCTCTCACGAAGCCTGTTCGTTGATGGATTTTTGCGGTCACATAGCTGATGACAGGAAGGATGTGGTGGGCAATGATAGCGACGATGAACTCCTACTAAAACTTAAAAAACCTCAGCTGCTGCGACCTATTTTTAGTGATGGAAATTTTGTATTCATATGTGGATTTTTTAATACTTGTATCATAACTAATGTCAATTTGAAATATAGAAACGCACTTTGCAATGTTTCATCTATGGTTCGTGCCGATGCAAATACAACTTACATATTTTTTCCATCAAATGATGTTGCAGGGGGATTG